GAGCGCGGGCAGGATGCTCGCGGGGTGCGGGCAGCGCGGACAATGTGCTGGCTGCGTGCGGGGCTGCGGGCAGGGCGGGCAGGTGGTGAACACTGTGGACATGGTGCTCGCAGGATGCGGGCAGTGCGAGCAGGGTGCGGGCAGGGCGCTGAGGGTACAGGCAGAATGGTCGCGGGTTGCGGGAGGGCGCGGGCAGTGCACTGAGGGTACAAACAGGATGATGGCGGGGTGCGGGCAGCGCACCGAGGGCACAGGCAGGATGCTCGCGGGGTGCGGGCAGGGTGCAGGCGGTGCACGGGGGGTACAAACAGGATGCTCCCGGGTTGCGGCGGGGCGCGGGCGGTGCACTGAGGAAGCAGGCGGGATGCTCGCGGGGTGCGGGCAGCGCGGGGTGGGCGCGCCCGGCGATGAGCTCACTGCAGTCTCGCCGCCCACGAGCGGCGGGGCTGGAGCCGCCGAGGGGCGGGGGCGGGCGGGGGCGGGCAGCGGAGCCGCCGCGTCTGCGGGAGCCGCCGCCGCCGCCCCGCCGGCCGCGCCGGGCAGCGCCGGGGAGCGCAGCGGGGAGCGCGGGGGAGCAGCGGCACCGCCGAGCGCGGCGGCAGCGGGCGGGAGGAGCCGCCGGCACCGGCACAGCCGCGCCCCGGGCCCCGCCAGCGGCCGCCCCGCCTGGCCCCGGGGGCGGCGGGCCCGGCCCGGCCCGGCCATGCTCGGCCTGGACGTGTGCGAGGCCGGCGGGCAGCTGCTGGAGCTGCTCTGGCTGGCGCTGTGCTACCGAGGTGAGCGGCGGCGGCCGGGGGGCAGCGCCCGGGGGCGGCGGGGGGCATTGCCCCGGGGAGGGCGGGAGAGCATCGCTTCGGGTCGCCCCAACAGGTGAGCATCCCCCGGGCACCAGGTGCATCACCCCGGGCCCGGGGGGACCGGAGAGTCCCACGGGGGAGCCCCCCGCTGTCCTCCCGCCTGTGGCACCCCCCGCATGCCACCCTGCCCTGCCACCCGTGGGGGGCCGGACAGCCCCCGCGTGGGTTCATCCCTGGGCTGGGAGCCCCCACACGCTGCCGCGACAGTCGGGGGCAGCCGTGGTGGGGGGCCCAGAAGTGCAGCAGGGCCGCTGCTCTGTGTCCCGGTCACTGACGCTGCACTGGGGACCTGCAGCCCTGTGGCCCCAGGGCTGAGCACGGTGGCCCTTGCCCCATGCTGTGTCTCCAGCATGTCCCCAGGGATGGCGTTCTAGAGGCTTTGGGGAGCTCAGTGCTTGCAATCACAAGGAGTGGAGGCGATGCAGTGGGCAGGGAGAGTCAGGGGCTGTGGGGACATCCCCCACCCTTGTGCCCCCCAGCAGCCTGGCAGCACAGGAGCCACTGTTTCCCCCAGAGATGCCTTTTTGCCCTGCAGCTGCTGGTGGTTTGGATTTGGGGTGGGAGATGGGGCTGGTGGCTGCCCAGCAGGGTTGGAGGGGGCTGTAGGGTGGTGAAAAGGACCTCTCTGTGTGACACCGAAGGGGCCTGTGGGCTGCAAGGGTCTGCAGGCACCCCCTGCACTAAGCACACCACGTAGGCACCAGCTCGTTTTGCTCCATGACCGTGCGGAAATGCAGCCGGCGGCAACACCTCTGGTCTCAGCTGTGCCACCAGGCCCTGGGGACACCGAGCCTGGCGCTGTCCCCACTGCTCCGGGCAGGGGAACAGCTCGTCTGCCCCACGGGGATTGCCCACATCCATCCATGGCGTGTCACAGCTCAGCCCCCCCCTGCCCGCCAGCGCCTTTGTGTCAGGGCATGGGGGGTGTCCCCCGGGGTGTCCCCGGGGCTGCCACTGCCTGTCCCCCGCAGACATCATGGCTGACAAGGAGGGGGTGACGCTGTCGCTGGAGGAGGAGGAGGAGGATGCCGACGTGGCCCTGGCGTACAAGACGCCGGAGAAGAAGAGCCTGCGGGAGATCCAGGAGCTGGACCCAGGGGATGAGAGCCTGCGGAAGTACAAGCAGGCGCTGCTGGGTACCATCCCTGCCACCGTGGGTAAGGCTGGGGGCTGCTCCTGGGGATGTGCACCCTGGCACTCCGGGCCCCCAACACCCCAGCACCCCAACAGCCCGGCACCCCGGCTGGGTGACGCAGCTTCGGTGGCTGCAGGGAGCTCGGGAATGCCCAGCACCCGCGCGGCATCCCCAGCAGGGAGGACACATCCCGGCTGGCATCGCCCGTGGGCGCTGCCTGTGCCCCCCACCCGCGCAGAGACCCCGGCATCCCCTGCCGACAGGGTACCGGTGCCCGGGGACCCCGGTTGCCTTGGTTACGGGATCACCGCCGCAGTTTCCATAGGAACGGCTACAGGGAACCGGGAAATTCATGGCGATGACGGAGAGGAACGAGCAGCGGGGGGGCCGGGGTAGCACGGCTGCCGGTGCCCAGACGGTGCCCCCCGCTCCCCATGGCACCCACGGCAGCCCCCCAGCCTGGTGCTGGCCTGGTCTGGGGGGGCTCCATGGGCCCACCACCTCGGTGGGCACCCGTGGGTGCATGGGGGGGGCTGCAGGCTGGGGGGGAGGTCCGTGCAAACCAGTGGGGTGTGTGAGGGGTGCACGATGGTGTGTGTGCAAGCTGGGGGGTGTGCAGGCTGGTGGGGTGCAGGTTGGGCTGGTGGGATAACTCAGATCAGTCCCCACTCCAAGGGGTGCCTTTGCTGCACATGCTGCATCCTCCTCCTCTGCCTCTGTCCTGCTCCTGAGACAGGGAATGGTGCACCCAGGGACATATCCATATCTGGGTCCTTTAAACATGATTTTACCCCAACGGCACTGATGCCAGTGTTGGGGTGACCTGAGATGCCCTGTTCTCCTGTGCCCTGCCTGGCTGCCCAGCTCTCCTGGTTCTAACACCCCACCAGGGACACTGCAGCCCTTCCTGCTGTTACAGGGGCATGAGCAGCCCCTCAGCTCACTGGGGTGGAGGTTTCAGTGGGCTGGGCATGGAGGGTAAGGCCTGGGCCCCGCTGTTTGTCCCTAGATGCCAGCGTGCCCAACGTGCAGGTGACAAGGCTGACCCTGATGTGTGAGCAGGCGCCAGGGCCCATCACCATGGACCTGACAGGTGAGCTGTGGGGACACCTGTGAGAGGAGGAGGAGGAGGAAGGGGTATCAGGCTCATGGACCATCTCCCCACACAGGAGACCTGGAGGGGCTGCGGGGCAGGGCCTTTGTGCTGAAGGAAGGGGTGGACTACAGGGTGAAGGTGTCCTTCAAGGTGAGCTGGGGGTGTGGTGCCCTGTGCCCTCTGGCTGGGCATAGCCCTGCTGCCCTCACACCCCAGGTGTGACACCAAAAAGTCCCTGTGCCGTGGGTCCCTGCCCTCACGCCCCGGGGTCCCTGCCTGATGAGGTCCTTCATGAGGTCCATGATCCCCATGGGTCCCTTTTCCCACATGTCCCTGCCCCAAAGGATCCTGGTTATCCGGGGCCCCTGCCCTCCTACCCTGGATTCCCTACCCCAAGGGGTCTCTGCTCCCCATGGGTCCCTTTTCCCACATGTTCCTGCCCCACAGGGTCCCTCCTGCTGCTCATGGGTTCCTGCCTGCCACAGGGTCCCTGCCATTTGGGGTCCCTGCTGCCTTGGGGTGTCTGCTTCCCACCCCTTACCCACAGAGTCTGTGCCCTTCTGAGGGTCTCTACCCACCCTGATGTTCCTGCTCTCCTGGGTCCCTGCCACCCTGGGAATCCTTGCTGTCCCCAGCGTGACTACCACCCGTGGGTCCTTGCCCCTCTTGAGGGATCCTGCCAGCCCAGAGTCCTTGCTCCTCCCAGAGGTCCCACCGATTTGGGTCCCTGCCTATCCCAGAGGTCCCTGGAGGTCCCTGCCCCTCCTGAGGGGAGATCCCTGCCCCCTCCAAGTCCCTGCCCCTCTTGGGGGTACCTGCCCTCCCCCCGATGCTCCTCAGTGCCCAGTCCTGACAAGGAGCTGGATCCTGGAAGTGGTAGATGTCAGGATGGATGCCCAAGAGTGGTGAGGGCCCCACGTTCTGGGGCAGCACCCGTGGCACCCCTGCTCTCTGCCCGCAGGTGAACAGGGAGATCGTCTGCGGGCTGCGGTGCCTGCACCTCACCTACCGCCGGGGCCGGCCCGGTGAGTGGGGCCGGGGGGCTGCGGGGCCGGGCTGGGGGGGGCCAGTGCCATCCTGGCCCGACTCACCCGTCCCTCCTCTCCCCTTCTCGCCCAGTGGATCGCGACGTCTTCATGGTGGGCAGCTACGCGCCGCGGGCCGAGGAGTACGAGGTGGTGACGCCGGCGGAGGAGGCGCCGCGGGGATGGCTGGCACGGGGCTCCTACCGCGTCCGCTCCCTCGTCACCGACGACGACAAGACGGAGCACCTCTCCTGGGAGTGGGGGCTCTGCATAAAGAAGGACTGGGAGGACTGACCCCCCGCTCCGCACCCCGGTTCTTCCCGCCAGCTCGGGGACGCGGTGCCGCCATCCCGGGGGACCCCTCGCCGGCACCGCCGCGCTTGCCCCAGTCGCGTGAAGGGTTGAGGGGGGTCCCTTAGCGAGTGGGCGCCCGTGGTCGTGGTCTTCGCAACCAAAGTTATTTTTAATTGCTCTTTTTTTTTAAATCTCAACGCCCGCCTGGTCCTCACGGCGTCCCCATTGCTGGGGCCGGGGCTGTGACCCCGCCGTGGTGGTGCCGTGCCCGGTACCCGCCCGGTCGCAGGCTGTGCTCTTCCATCGCCATTAAACCCTACAGACTGGTCTCTTACTGGTGTGTCTGTGCCCCCGTCACCTCTGCCTGTCCCCCTGCTTCCTGTCTCCCCCTGTCCCTGTCCCCATCCCACTGGCAGGGCCAGGTCTCCCTGCGCTGACGAGTGGCTGGAAAACAGCCACCTGGTCCCGCTGCCTTATCGGCCGTGCTGGGCAGCCAGTAGCGGAGGGCCACGAGCCCCAGGGGACCGGCACCTCCCGCCCCAGGGCTCTTATCTGCGTCCTGCCCCCTGGACAACGTCTTCTGCACCGGCACCATGTGGGGCTGCAGGTCCAGGCTGGTTTGGCTGCTGGTGCTGTCGCTGGCCTGTCTGGGCCCAGTGCTGGGGGACGAGGAGAAGGATGAGGAGGTGGTGGCAGAGGAGGAAAGGGAGAAAGAAGAGGATGAAGTGCTCTCAGATGAGATCAAGGAGGAGGACAATGTCCTGGTGCTCCATGAGCACAACTTTGCCCGTGCCTTGAGTGAGCACCAGCTGCTGCTGGTGGAGTTCTGTGAGTGTCCCCACTGTGGGCAGGGGTGTGGGCAGGGGCAGATGTCGGGCAGGGAATACGGGCAGGGGATATTGGCTGTGGCTCTGAGTGTGGGCAGAACAGACATATGGGCATTGGGGTGGAGGGGGGGACAGGCAGGCAAGGCTGTGGGCCAGAAGGGCAGAAGAACAGGACACGTGACAGGGCATGGGATGGAGACAGAGACATGGAGCAGGGACACCGGCAGAGGCATGAGCTGGGGAACAAGTGACAGGGGTATGGCACACAGGACAGGGACACATGGTGGGGGTGGGGGACATGGGACCTGGAACAGGCACATGAGCTGGGGCCCAATAGGCTTATGCAGCTATTACAAGCCCACCCTGGGGACAGGGGACACCCCAAAGCTGTCCCCACTGCCAACGCCATCCCCTGCCTGCAGATGCACCGTGGTGTGGGCACTGCCAGCAGTTGGCCCCCGCCTACACCCAGGCGGCCACCGAGCTGAGGAACGAGTCCAGTCCAGCACGGCTGGGCAAGGTGGATGCCATGGCACAGACAGCCCTGGCCAACGAGTTCAACATCACCTCCTACCCCACGCTCAAGCTCTTCCGCAATGGCAACCGCACCCACCCCCTCCCCTACACCGGTAGGGCTGTGGCACCAAACAAGGGGACACTGCCACGGGGCTGGGGAGGGTGGCAGGGTGGTGATGGTGAGATGGGTGGCAATGTCCTGGTGGGCTTTGCAGCATGGTGACAGCGGGCTGGTGACAGTCTGGTGATGGTGCATGAGGCAGGTGATGCCGGGCAGTGCCGTGGTGGTGGCAGGTGGCCAAGGCTGGTGGCACAGGGAGGGGTGGCAGCCTGGTGAGGGGTGTCAGGGTGACAGTACTGGCTCTGCTTGGCATGGCAGGACTCATGGACACGCGGGGCATTGTGCGCTGGATGCAGCGCCGGGCCGGCCCCAGTGCCACGCTGCTGCATGACACCGACACCGCCAACGCCTTCGCCAACTCCGAGGACTTGGTGGTCATTGGCTTCTTCAAGGTGGGCTGGGGCGGGTGGGGGCCAGATTGGGTCGCAGCCACGGCCGTGGCTGTGGCACTGATGTGGGGACTGCGCAGGACCTGAAGGGCCAGGCAGCCCAGGCGTTCTACGATGTGGCTGCTGAGATGGTGGACATGCCCTTTGGTGTGGCGGAGGCGGCTGAGCTCTTCCAGGCCTACGGGCTGTCAGCTGACACCGTCTGTCTCTTCAAGAAGGTGAGGGGGTGGCAGAGGGTGGTGGGGCCATCCTTGTCCCCATCCCAGCTCTCACTAGCCCCTGCTCTGGCAGTTTGATGAGAGACAGACAAACTTTCCCGTGGACCCGGTGCGGGGGCTGGACACAGACGAGCTCTCGCGGCTGCTCCGCGTCCACAGCCTGAGGCTGGTGACGGAGTTCAACGATGAGGTACAGCCCGTGTCCATCCCCATCTCTGCCTGTGAGTGCCATAGCCCCCTGCCCTCATCCTCCTCCTCCTCCTCAGACATCCAACCAGATCTTTGGTGCCAAGATCCCCCATCACATGCTGCTCTTCCTCAACAAGTCATCATCAGAGCAGCTGTCCCTGCAGGACGGCTTCAAGGCAGCCGCCGGCACCTTCCGGGGTGAGGTGAGGTGGTCCCATGGCAGGGACAAGGGGGGTGGCTGTGGGGCACCCCATCCTCAGGGTCGCCCATCCCCTGCCCAGGTGCTCTTCGTGGTGGTGGATGTGAATGGGTATGGCGCCGACGTCCTGTCCTTCTTCGGCATGACCCCCGCCGACGCCCCCACCCTGCGCCTCGTCAAGATGGAGAACAACCGCAAGTACCAGATGGAGCAGGACTCCTTCTCGGACACGGCCATCCGCACCTTCATCCAGGCGGTGCTGGATGGCAAGGTGAAGGTGAGGGAGGCAGCAGGTGCCAGCCAGCACCTGAGGATTCTTCCCCGTGGTGGGTGGTGGGCTGGTGACTCAGAGGCCTAGTGATGGCAGATGTGCTGTGAACACCAGCCCCCTGCTCGCTGATCCTTCTGCTGCCAGGCTTGAGGATTTGGGGGGCTGGTAGGGGAAAGGAGGCAGGAGACTGCTGATGTGGAGACACACAGAGCTGGGATGGCAGCGGAGGGGCAGATGTGGTCCAACAGGCAGCACAAGTGCACCCCTGGCTGTGTGCTGGGACACCCCTGCCCCTGCCCACACTGTGCCCCTTGGGGCCCTGGCACTGCCCAGCCCAGCTGTGGCTGCCCCGACTGTCCCCACAGCCCCACCTGCTGAGCGCGGAGCCCCCCGAGGACTGGGACACACGGCCTGTCAAAGTCCTGGTGGGGAAGACCTTCGAGCAGGTGGCGTTCGATGAGACCAAGAACGTCTTTGTCAAGTTCTGTAAGTGCCGGGGCCGGGCTCAGCCCCTCCACAGCAGCCCCCAGCCCTGTCACAGACCCTCACCTGGGGGTTGCAGCAGAGCCCCAGTCCCCCAGTCCATCCCCTGGCACTGTGCCTGTCCCGCAGACGCTCCGTGGTGCTCCCACTGCCAGGCCATGGCACCCGCCTGGGAGGAGCTGGGCGAGCGCTACAAGGACCACGAGGACATCGTCATCGCCGAGATGGATGCCACGGCCAACGAGCTGGAGAACATCACCATCCACGGCTTCCCCACCCTGCACTACTTCCCCGCAGGGCCAGGCAGGAAGGTACGTGGGGGGAACACCCCTGGGGTCACCCCAGCTCTGCCAGCACACGGGGAATGGGGTCACCCCTCGTCACCCTCCCATCCCATGGCTCCAGATGGTTGAGTACAAGAGCACCCGAGATGTGGAAACTTTTTCCAAGTTCCTGGAAAATGGGGGGGTGCTGCCCGTGGAACCTCCTGTGGTGAGTGAGGTCAGGGACCCCCCACCCACCCCAGGGCAGCCCCCAGCCCCTGCTGGGCAAGCTGTGTCCCCATCACCATCCTGTGGGATGGTGATGGGGACAGGGGCAGGCAAGGACTGTGTGTCCATCCATGCCTCACTGTTGCGTTTTTCAGGTGACCAAGACCCCTGGGAACAGCACAGGCAAGGAGGATCCAAGTGTGCTGGGGACAGATGAAACCCGGGATGAGCTGTGAGCCCTGTCCTGTTCAGGCACGTGATATAAACCACCTGGAAACCATGTGGGCTCTGGTCTGTTTGCGGCTCCATGTCTCGGGGAGCATCCACGTGCCTTGGGGGCACAGCAGGGCTGACAATGGGCAGGGCCCCCACTACTGCTTGGCCCTGGGCCCCCCAGGAGGGGGTGCTGCCAGGGGCCCTCTGCCTCCCTGGGGCAGCTGTGCCGTAACAATCATCCTGGCAGCCCCACGGTGACGCAGGCTGGCCAAGGACAGGGCTGTGGGGGCAGCCCAGCACTCTCCATGCTGGCCCTCATGCTGGCCTGCTGGGGTTCAGGTGATGGGGGACCAGCCAGGGTCTCTCCTTCATGGCCCACCAGCTCCCCAGGAGCTGCTGTCACATGCTCCCCTCAAGTCTGGCTCAGCTTCTGGGACCCCCAGCATCCCCTCCAAACACCAGCACCATCCCCTCTCCCCTGGGCTATTCCTCCAGGGGCAACATGTTGGTCCCCTGGGGCCAGGACCTGCCCAGCCACCCTTCCAGGGAGCCCAGAGCAGCCCCAGCCCCACCATGTGCCCAGACCCTTCACCAGACCTGTGCCATCCTCTGTCCATCCCAGAGGCTGCCGAGGGCCCGGGAGTAGCTCCGTGGGGAAGGAAGAAAGCAGCAGGCAGTGGGACGTGGGGTTTTATTTCATTTTATCCAAGTACCTTTGAAAAGATCATTGTACAAGTCAGCACATGAGAATGCAGAGGAAACGTCGCCGGGGCTGCGCGGCCGCTGTACATATTTACAGGGACCCCCGAGAAAAAAGGGGGAGACGGAAATCCCGGGCACGTTAACAACCTCACCAGACACACCACCATCAGAACTTCAAAAAACAGGGAGCAAACCCCCTTGAAACGCTGTTCCCGGGCGGAAAACATCTGCAGATTTTGATGGACCTCACGTAGCATTTTAGGCAAGTCCCAGGACCGTGTTTTAAAGGCACTCGGTGACATAAACAACAGGCTGAGTCGCGTCCCGGCGCGGTGCCACGGGGTGCCAGGCAGCCCCAACACTGCTGTGGCTGAGAGCAGTGCTGGGCAGGGCGAGCACTGATGTGGAAACCCCCCGGCTTTGGGGCCACTCCCGTTTCTGTGGGTGGGCAAGGGCTGGTCTCTGAAGGAGCTGGCACAGTTGTGACCATGCCAGAGCAGCACGGCCTGGGCTGGGGACAGGCAGGGTGGTGGGAGCACCGGCACAGCCCAGGCTTCCTTGCAACTGAGTAAGCCCAGGAGGCTTCCCAGGGTTCTGGGTCACCCACTTCTGCCAAGTGGGTGATCTGGCCCTACGTGAGCCTCACAAAGTGGCATCAATAACCCCCCTGGTGCAGTGCCCTCCTGCTTCCTCCCCTGAGACACAGAAGCTGACAAAAGATGCAGGACTCATAAAAAAAGGTGTTTTGTCCTCAGCTTTAGTGTCTCACAGTTCCCTCCCTATTATGGTTCTCCTAAAGAGTTCCCTGCCCAATGCCAGAGCTTGGCCCAGGGGTCTGGGTGTGTCTGCACCAGGCACATGAGTGCCAGCACCTTCTCCAGGGGCACACAGGGGATACACACATGAGCATGCAGGCCATGGGATGCCAGCACCCAGCCTGCCACCCCAGCTCCCAGCTGGTCCTTGCTCTGCAGGGAGCACTGACCCTTTTATCCCTCGGGGATTTACTCAGTCGCAAGGAAGCTCAGGAGGAAAAAAAAAAGACCCATCCTACCATATCCAGCAGCTGAGCCTGCCAAGGAGGCCAGAGACTGACTCCTTCCAAACGGCTCAAAAATCTTCACAGCCCCTTGGGACCCTTCCACGTGGGGTGACAGCTGCTCTGCCCCACGGTGCTCCAGAGCCATCCACGCCAGGAGAACGGGGCAGGGTGCTGGGAAAGCACAGAGCAGCCGGAGCCTGACGGATGGCTGTACACTTTGGGCGAGTTCTGCAGTACCTGTATGTTTTACATTTACATAAGAGCACTGTGACATTGGAAATATTTTCCTTTTATTACAATATATCAAAAATATGCAGCTTTAGTAAACAAGGTCATATTACACTTTCTAATGCACTGTACAATGCTACATTACACTTATATTCGGTATGGAGAGGGAGCCCAGGCTCCCACTGGCAGGTTCATGGGGTGAAACGGCATCCACTGGCATCCTGGAGCTTGCCCAGGTCCGTGCTGGAGAGCGGGGCTGCCGCTCTCCGCCCTGGGCTCGCCCGGTGCCCGTGGCAGCAGCACCACCAGTGTCTGCCCCAGGCCTTCTCCTCCGGTCCCAGAGTCCTTCACAGTCCTGTCCTCATGCCTCAGCTGCCCTGGAGCCTTAGTCAATCTTCTCCACCTTCCCAATGATCTTCTCCTCGAAGATGGGCAGGATGGTGTCGTCCTCCCGCACCTCCTCGAAGACCACACCACAGTCGAACTCATCACTAACCTTCTTAAAGTAATACCTGCAAAAAGAGGAACATGGTGGGGGAGAGGGAAAAAAATGCAGCTGAATGGTCTTGGGGCATCATGGTCCTCAAACCTGGGTACAGCCCTTCCATGGCCCTGAGCTCGCGGTGCATGGGAAGCTGCTCCCCCAGACCTGGAGGCAAACGCCCCTGCCCTCACCCAGTGAGCACACACAGTGGTCAGGATCCATGCTAGCACAGTCAGGAGCTCCAGCCCTGAATCCAAGTCCGTTCACACCTCTCCTAAAAATAGGCCGAGGCACCTGTGTTGGTGGAGCATTTCTAGGCAGGTTTTCCCATGGCCACTCCTACTTGGAAGGGACAACTTGGAGAGCTACGTGCCTCTCACTTGGCTGCTCTGGGACTCTGGCAGGACCCAACCTCCCTGTCCTCACCAAAATAAACTCTGGGAGCTCTGAAGTCAGAGGGTCCCCACAGCATCACTGAGCATTAGCTGATGCTGCTGCTTACGAGCCCAGGACACCGCAGGGCAGCTCAGCAGCTTCTGCTGGAGCTGCAAACCACAATGCAGGACATTTCTGCTATAAAACCCGACCTCCCTCATCCCTGTAACCTGCCTCTTCAGCAGCCACATCCCCACCACATCCCCACCACAGCATTCCGAGAGGGAGCCCTCCTGACCGACCTCCACCAAGCTCCTTCACCTTGGTGGGGGCAACACCACAGTGGCATCTGCCGGGGATCGCTGGCAGTTGCCGGCACCACGCCACAGGTGGGGAGCAGCCCTTACCTGTAGTTCCCTTTCTTGGTCAGCAGCTCCTTGAACTGTCCCAGGGTGACCACGCGCCCCTTGACCAGGGTGCGGTAGGGGATGGGCTCTCCACAGAAGTAATAAGCGACCACGATGTTCTCGCACGGCTGGGACGCGCCGCTGCCCGGCCTCTTCTGGGGCTTCAACCTGCCGAGCCAAGACACAAGGGACCTGCTGAGTATCAGCCCACAGTGCTCAGCACCAAGGTGTTGGGTGCCTGGGGCTGCCTGGGGGAGAGGTGTGGGTCAGGTCCTGTCAGACGGGCTGCAGGAAGTGCAGTGCAGTCCCTGAGCATGCCTTGCTCTGACCACCAGCCTCTCCCGGCATCCAGCTGAACACTGAGGCTGGTGAAGGAGCAAACAGCACTTGGGAAGGCTGGATGGCACCCAGGACACAATCCTAGCTCAATCCTGAAGAAACCTGTCCTCAGGCTTTGAGAGGGCATGGCCCTGCTCATAGCACGGTTTGGGGAGTCGCTGGTAAGCTCTGGGCCAGGCAGAGCACCCCGGGCCCGTGGCAGCAGGCCCAGGTCACCCATCATCACCATCTCACCACGCTCCTGGTGCACACCCATGCAGGGCTGGAGCGTCATCCTGCAGGGCATGATCATGCAGACACTGCTCAGAGTGCTCGTGATTATTGCCACCATGGCCAAAACAGCTCAGCATGGCTTTCCACTGAGCTACATCTGCAGACAGGGCTGCCCCACGGCTCCCCCGGACACCTCTCCCAGGGCAGACGAGGTCAGAGGGGATGGAGCTCTCAGCAGGGTGCCAAGGCAGCTGCCATCCCCAAAACCTCAGTGACTTTATACCTCCTGTGTTTTTCCCGCTCTGAGAATGCTGGTCTGGTCTCTGTTTCCAGCCCACACATCGGGGTTCAGCTACGTGGCGCCATCACTAGACCAAAAACATCAGCCCAGCCCTCACCCCATTTTCAGAGACAGACAAAGGCGGCAATAACAAAACTCAGGGTACTTTGCCCTTCTGCAGAGCCTTTCATCTGGGGTGCCGAGGATGCTGCACAAACATTGGAGCAGCCTACACAAATTGGTACCTTGGCATGCGTGGTCTGAGCCAGAGGCAGCCTTCCCTTTCAAAGGCACATAAAGCACATTTGGCAGCTTTAAAAAAAAAAAAAATTATTTTAAAAACACGCTGGATAAAAAAAGATGATTTTGTATTTACATGACTGGAAAGTTGCTGTAAAGAAACAGAATTTGCCAAGCACATGAGGTAATCGCAGTTTTGGAAATGACTCTGACCTTAACCTTTAAACACTGGCTGGCGGGCAGAGCACCTTTTCATGGCGTGCCCACATAAATACTGGCACTGCAAACCAAAACCAGACAGAGCTTTTTCAACTCCTCCTACAGGCATGAGAGGTCTAAAGTTCAACTGAACAACCTTCCGGGTGCCTGCTCTGCCTGCGAGACCTTTGGAGAAGATGCAGCATCCTGAGAGGAAAGGGTCTGCTCCTGGTGCCAGCAGAGCTCTCGGAGCCTCTCCCATCCCTGTATCAAAGCACAGGATGCCCTTTAGCTAGAAAAACATTAAGGAATTGAGTCATCCTTGGAAAAAAAAATACAAAGCATTTAAAGGGAAAATGGGTCATAAATTCAGGCAAATTCTGTGAACCCTGTGAGCCAGAAGTTAATTGAAGGGGTTTGGAAAACCTCAAAGTCCCTAAGCTTCTCTTAATCCTGCTAGAGACAAGTCATGACTAAGAGATGTGTGCCTGGGGACCTGGGGACACAGTGAA